CACGGCTTCAAGCCTAGCTATCAATAGTATACTAGTGCTAAACAATTAATACACAGCGCAATATAGTCTCTCGGATTGGGACCGAGTCACAATTCACATCACTTTCGACCCCGCACTACCCTGGAGTGCGTGTCTAGCCTCACAATAGTGTCACAAAGTGATAAACCGAGGTTTCAAACCCTCAAGTAGTCATTTACACCCATTACTCACCTCGAACTGGTCGGAAAACTAGCCCGAAATGCCTTTTCCTTTCAAATCCACCTCTCCGAGCGATGAATCTGCCCAAAACTACAGCGAATACGTTACATGATGCTAATGGAACATAGCCCAATCAATAGAACTCGAAAAACAACACAATTCGCGAAAATCACAAAACCCGAGCCCCGGGACCACGTCCCGAATTCCAGAAATTTGCATACCAAAACGACCCTCGTCTCGCCACGAGTCTATACATATAAAATTTATCAAAATCGGAGTCCAATTGCTCCTCCAAATCATCAATTTAGTTTTCAAAAATCAAGCCCTAGGCGTTCCTCTAATTCACCCAATTTCAGAGATTTAATGTGTAATTCTTCAATAAAATGATGATATAAGGTCCCGAGACTTACCTCCAATGATTCCCCGATGAAAACCTCTTAAAAACCCGTTACTTAGCTCCCAAGGTCGCTCAACAATGGAGGAAAATTGAAATAACTCGCGGATGAACCTTTTCCTTATGTTTTAAAACCTACTGACGCGGCCTTCTATGCGATCGCAACACATCCATGCGATCGCATAGAGCAACCTGATCCTGGCCATTAATTCCTTCAGTGCGATCGCACTACTAGATATGTGATCGCATAGATACAAGAGACCCCAAACAGTGCGATCGCATACAGCCTTCGCGATCGCATAGAACACTCCTCCTTCGACTCTGGCCCAGCCTCACAACCCTATGCGATCGCATCCCTTCCCTGCGATCGCATAGCACTACCCAGGGCCCCCCAGCCATCCTTCTATGCGATCGCAACCTTGTTATGCGATCGCATAGTGCTGCAACTGCTGCTTCCCAATCTGCTGCACTTTTCATTTCCAAACCTTTCCGACAACCACCCGAATTCACCCCGAGGCCCCCCGGACCTCAACCAAATGCACAAACTCAACCTAATACTTCATTCAAACTTGCTCGGGCCATAAAAATGCTATCCTAAAAATCAAAAATCTCCAAAATTCAACAATTTCCATTTCAAACTAACTTAAACTTCTAGAATTCTCATTCAATCAAAAACCCAGCCAAACGAAGTCAAAATGACCTGAAAATTTGCAGACATATCCAAAATCACCTAACGAAGCTAATGCAACTGTCGGAATTCCATTCCGACCCCTGGATCAAATTCTCACCTATCAACCGGATTCTTCCGAAATTCCAACTTCGGCAAACCTAGCTAACTTTCACTCCGGACCTCCGAATTCACTTCCGTTTTCACACACAGGTCACAAATCATCCCCCGAAGCTAGTCGAGCCATCAGAAATCCGTTCCGAGCTCTCTAACTCATAAGTCAACGTCAGGTTGACTTTTCCAACTTAGGCTTTTCTTAAAGAGACTATTGGTCTCATTTCTATCCAATTCTCACCCGAACCACTTCAAACTCACCAAACACGCAAAATAACCTACGGGGAAGCATACAACGGGGATAACGGGACTGAAAAGCAATAAATGACGGGTCGGGTCATTACATCAATCAAATGAAGCTAAAAATTAACTCAACTTTAAATGTGTTGAGTTGAGTTGGATTAAGATGGATTGAGTTTAATTAAATGGATGGTTCAGTAACCAGTCCAACCTTAGGCAGGTCATTTAGGCTTGGGCCAAATTTGACTGTCCTAGATTTGACTAGGGATGATTAATGGACGGGTTGGATTGAATTTGGAGGGGTCAAGATGGGTTAGGTCAATAAATGAATCATTGCCCAACCCAAACCAATGTGTACTTGGGTTAAGATGGGCTCGGTCAAGATGGGCTAAACAATGGGTCATAGCCCAACCCGCCCAACTTGACCCATATTTTAGAACCATACTTAAAATGCGTAACTTGAAAAATATTTTGCGGGCGAGGTGGGGGAGGTGTAAAAAAATTAAAAATTAAAAATTAAAAATACAAAAACAAAAGATATGGGGAGGGTTTGGTAGGTGGGTGGTGCAGAAAAACAAAAAAAATAGAAAATTAAAAATACAAAAAAAAATCAAAAAAAATCGAGGGGATTNAATACAAAAACAAAAGATATGGGGAGGGTTTGGTAGGTGGGTGGTGCAGAAAAACAATAAAAACAGAAAATTAAAAATACAAAAAAAAAAGTAAAACTGGGGCAACTAAGTAAATTTCTATATAAATTGGATTGAGATTCCTTTTATTTTGGGTGCGTTTATTGGGTTATATTTGGACTGTTTAATGGGTCTGAATGGGCTATAAAAAATAAGGAATTTTTACCTATGTATACCATATAGTAAACCTTATTACCTCCCATGTTTAAAGTTTGTGTTTATTACATTTAAGCATACCAAATTTCAATTTATATACCATAATTCAAATTAAGGGTATAATTATTGCTTCATTTATTCTAGACATGATTTTAGGAGCATATATTCTTCAATTTTAGTTTACCTGCATCTCTCTCCTCCCACTCATCATCATATGATTTCAGAAGCGTCTCAGAGCCAATTCAGGTAAGCTTATAGAGTAATAGTTGTAAGTGTCGACGATTCTGTTTCATTTTTTGACTTAGTTTCCTTTTTATATAATCTAATATTGCTTGACATTACCGTAAACAATGGAATGGGTAACAAGCACGCGCATGCCTCTGTCAAGTATAGATCAATCCAAGAAGTATCTTTCTACTCTTCAACTCATTATTCTTGTCAAAATTCAAATAACTGAAACCAGTCAACTGACCTTTGCCTAGGAATTACTCGTCAAAAGAAAATTTTCTCAATTAACGACTAGTGCCTACACGATCCTCCTTTTAGACTGTCTCAATACACATCTCACATATTATAGTTCTTGTAGTTTGTATGTAGAAATTTTGTAGATGAAGAGCAAATTTTGTTGTCAATATTTTTTTGACACAAGATTGTAGTTTAATTGTAGTATAAATGTAGTAATTTTGTAGATACTCTTAAAATTAATACAACTTTATACAAATACTTAAACTGATTTGTATTTTATTTGTAGAAATTTTATCTACAAGATATCTACAAACTGAATACATTGAATTTTAATACCCCAATTCCCATTTCAATTGTAGCATAATTGGCATTTTTGACATAATTGTAGAAGACTTGTAAAAGTTTTAGTCTTCCCAATCTACAATTTATTTATAAATTATCTACAATTTATCTATATTTTATCTACAATTTATCTACAATTCTACAATTTAACTACAATTTCTGAAAATCTGTCTTCTTCTTCTTCTTCGACGAGTTTCAATCTAAAATTCAGTCAAAACCAAGTCTAATCTTCACCAAAACCCCTCAAAATTGAGATATAAACTCCTAAACATATTCCGAATTATTTATAACAACACCCAATCCAAACAAATAATGATTTTTGAAAATCCAAATTTCAATTCAAAGCTTTCAAGCTTTTTAATGGCTATCAATGGTGGAAAATATATGGAGAAGGAGAGATTTACGCAGCTACAGATTTACTTCCGTTTCAAATTTCGAATTAAATGCTGATAGGATCACACGCAGATCCTCCCCCTACAATCTCGCGCGTTTTTTTGGTAGAATCTCGCTATTTATGGGCTTGATATATATTTTATAGGGATAATGTGGACAACACGAGTAAATACCAATTGGTGAACATTTTTGGTAATAAGATTTGTTATATGGTATAGATAGGAAAAAATCTCAAAAAATAATAGATTAATTTGGGCTCAGGCCAAATAGACTTATGAGCTAAAATGTTTGTAGCACAACCCATTATCCTCTGGGCGAGTTGGGAGAGAAATTTAAAAATAGCGTGATTTACAAGTGGTCATTTAAAAATGGCCACAGTTCCAAAAGTAATCGAAATCTATCCACTTTTTATGTAAAAATAAATTTGAACGAAAATACTGTTCAAAATTCAGAAAAATACTCCAGCATAATATATTGGAGCATGGAGCACCGGTGCTCCAGTCTCCAGTCTCCAACTGGAGCCAGCAAAGTATATCGGTCCGGCATAATATGCTGGAAGTTCATACACAGGTGCACCGACTCCCTATATTATGCTGGACCAATCTCTGTTGCAGCGAAGTAGTCACTATTTTTCAATGACTTGGCAAATACTGACTATTTTTGAATGACCAGTCTGAAAACTGGCTAGACTCGTTGAGCAGGTTGAATGGGTTTGGGCTCAGATATGTGAGAAGTAAGGCTTCTGAAAGTGGAGAGAGAATAAGAGAGTAGTATTATTCAGAATAACACTGATGCCTATTACAATGTGGAGGTCTCCTTTATATAATATGATACCTTTCTCGAAATAATAAGTAACAATAAAAAAGGTACAAAGGTAGGTAACGTCTTCTTGGTGAAGATGTTGAGTCCTAAGCGACGTCGTATTCGTCCCCATGTCTGGGACGTACCTGAACAATAGTGGACGTCTACTCACGGGGCATATCCATTGTTATGGGAACGTTGGGGGTTGATTCGACCCCATACAAGCGGGTCTAATGGGTTTGGGCTAAAATTGCCACCCCTACATTTGACGCTGTCCGGAAAAGGATTTAGAGAGCAGACATCACCTAAAACGAAGATTTCTTCAAGATTTGAGGTACATACGATTAGTTCTAATCATACAAATTAAATTCGTTCTAGTTTGAGGTCGATGGAATTCGAGATATAGTGGAATCTTAGATAGAATTCTCAAATAACTGAAGGAAAAAAAAACCAGATAAATTGTTGCATTATTGTTGTAGTATTACTTAGAGAAATTAAAAAAATTATAATAGAATTGGACAAGGCTTAAATTTGTGCCTTGTCACAAGCCACCAGGTCCACCATACAAAACCATATGTTTCCAATCATCCCCAGCATTTTCAACATCGACAGCGTTGTATAAATTAGGACTATCTACATGTGTCGTCAATTTACCTATGTCTATATTTTCGCCTTTATCATTTAAAATTGTAATATTTCTGCAACATCCATCACGCGTAGTGTTTCCTACCGGGAAAGAGCCTGATCCCATGGGCGGTTCAAGTATTCCAGGTGCACTATATACCACTCCGCCAAATTCAACTCTTGTTGCAAAAAACGCAAAATCATCAAACACCTCTTGAGGCCAAAAACCAATTGGTGTATGAGTATTTGTAATAAATAACCACCAATTTCCATTGTTTAGGTCCTGTTTTCAATAGAAAAAAAAATGGTTAATAAATAAATTTTTTCTGTTGTATTTGTGCTTCCCTACTTGAAGGTAGAACATAAGGAAAAAAAAAGTTACCCAATTTAAGTTAAAATCGAGGTCATATGTCTTCACTCCAGGTTGTGAAACGGGAGAAATTATTGAATCTACCGCTATTTCTGTATTTATAAGTACAAAAGCAGGACATAACAAATTGAAACAAGAGTTTGTACCATCCTGAAAAAATGAAAAACAACATTTGAGGGACAAAAAACTTATAATAACATACTACTTGGTTCATGTATGTGTCTATATATATATATACACACACACACATATACACACACACACACAC